CGTTGAGAGGTTAACATCATTGCTGGTTGTGTGACTTGGTCCTAATTTTGGCAATTTTGACGTCTAAAAATAAAATGCCAAATTTTAAGAGGCATGAATGATGGGTAGATAAACATTTTATCATTACAATAATAAATGGTAGTAACAACAAACAGAATGTGAGAGCTTAGATCTTAAAGGTATCATCTTGTGTACAATTTCATAATTTGTAATTTTTATATCAATTCATTCAATTTTGGTCTAATTTTATTATGTCTAGATTTACAAAATCATTGCTAAAATTCATTTGAAATGTCCAGTGCTAGGCGTGATATTGAATGGCTAGACTAGTATTGCAAAAAATAAATTATAGTTGGAATGAGTACTTAAAATTAATAATAATAAATTATGAAAATTCTAATTGAAAATTTGATTAAAAATCCAATTTAGATAGTACATTTGTTTCTTGTAAAATTTATTAAAAAATTATTTCAATATAGGAGAAATTGTATACAGTGATGTTATAATCATATATTTGTTTATATAAAAATTTATAAAATGTATACTATATCAATCTAACACTAAGTGGGATCAAAAAATGTTATACAATATTTTTTGAATGAATTTTTATTATTATCAATTTCTTTTAGTAGAATCTATTTGTACAAAATTTATGTTAGGTTAATTCTATCTTGGATTAACTCAAGTTAGCTATAACCATGGTTAGGGAAGTTAAATATGGTTAGGTTAAATAAGATGTGCACTTTATTTCTTCTTGTATAGAAGAATGAAGGAACCATTCACTACGCATAGTTCAATTTTGCACTTTGAGAGTGATCAAGGAGTAGGGTAGTTTAGCTTGAATGTTGTGTATACACTTGTGCTTTAGTGAAAATTTTATTTTTGCCCGTGGATGTAACCTCTTAAAGATGAACCACATTATCTCGGTGTTGTGAATGTCGTGTGTACTGATTGATTGTTGGGCCTTACAATTATATTATTTAATATATAAATGTTAATATCATTAAAATTTTGTAAAATATCTAACTTTATACTTGTAAAGAAATCAATAACATTTTAAATAATTCAAATTATAAAGATAATGTGCAATGATGAGATTTCCACTTGTTTTTGAGATTAGTCGTGACTGGGAAGTAGTGTGGCTCGCGGTGTGGTTCACCCTCAAGAAGAGTGTTACGTCCACCCATAACTTTACTCCAGGTCTTGTAAGAAAGACTCCATGTACAAGGCGAACCCCGAGGTATTTATTCCTAGTCCAGACAACCGTACTAGTTATAAATAGTTAGCACCTAAGTTTACTCCTTAACTTGAGTTAACCTCAACAATTTGATGGACAAAGCAATGTAATTGTTTTTTTAACATTTAAAAAGTAAAATTAAAAAAATATTATCAACATAGATGTAACAAAAGAAGAGATATATATAAAGAATTATTTTTTCATTAAATATATATACAAGTTAAATATATATTATGATGATAAAAAAAATATCTTGAATTTTTTTTTGAAATGAATTTTTTTAAAATAAATCATGTCATTCATGAATTATTATGTTTTAAACTTGTCTACTTTCTCTTTTAAATAAATACATATAATCATGAATTTATTTGATTTATAATGCTTTGACTTTCATGAGGCAAATCCATATAATATTATTATAACTGAGACATAAACTGGTTAGATATTTTCAACATAAAGTCTTATTATATTCAATGAATATAATACAAATTTGTTGTGATAAGAACTATATTTTAAATTTGATTTTTTATAATCTTTTAATAATAATAACAAGATTCTAATTAGGTTAACTATCACATAACACATTAAAGCCAACGAATTTTCTTGTTAATCTAGCATCGACATTGTCATCAAAACATACAAATGAATTTCCTTTTCTAAAAAATAAAATTCCAATAATCAGATTTGTAGGAGCTCTACAATGTGATTAAAGCAACATGCATAACAAGAATGTTCACATAATTTTGAACCTCGGAGTTATCATGATTGTTTAAAATATGACTAAAAATCACTGAAAATCACATCATCATGCTTGTCAAACAAAATTTCAGAAATCAAATTTCAGAAATCTCAAAGAATTATGCATTAATCATGATATCAATCATTTAATTCACTTTCCAAGAAACTTTTTTTCTAAATAAAATCTGAAAATGAAATATCCACTGATATATCTTTGTTGCTAAAAATATTGTTGTAAAAATTTATATTTTGATCAACAACTTGGGTTTATGTACCATGAAAACTACTGAAAAAAAATACCACGTCAATATAAAAAATAAGATAAAAATTGTGCTTAAAATTATCAAGAAGTGTTCATTACAACGTCAAAATCAAGAAAAGTTTTAAATTAATTTCCAAGATCATAGTTTAGTACTAACATAGAAATGTAAGTTACGTCTTACTATATGATAGATGTAATGTAAAGTACAGGACATATACATGTAATAAATAACAATAATAAGTAACATTATAAGGACATCTAGGTGTCGGAAATTGGCAAAAGACTTTGCGTACTTCTATCCATCACTGTTACTCTGCACGCACATGTGGAATTTGAAATACAAGTGTTTTAGACACATTTGCGTGTAATTTTTCGAAATGTGCTTCAGGAAAATCAGAAATGCATTCTCAATGTCAGTGCTGCATGAGGTATCGCAAGAAAGGTGATGGAAATTTCTTTATTGGGGACAGACTCCAGCTAATTGGCTCATCGTCATCCGTCACCCACAGCCAGAAGCTCGGTTTCAGCCCCGAAGACTCTAATCTCCCACAAAAGAAATGTTTAGACGACACGTATATTTCTTCTCTCCCACACGGATATACCTCGCAGAGAAGCCGTTTTCCTAAGAAGCTTGGGCCCTGGGCAGGACAGCCTTGTCTACTACAGATCCTCGACGCGTGTATTCCTGGTTCCAAGAAGCTGGACGAACGCAGAACAAGTGTCAGATGAACCGTCCAGATTGGGATCGAGCGGCTGCAGAGGATTGTCTTTTTTGTCTTGCTACACAACTGTCAAGCTTACGGCCCGTCGAGCGGGAAGGTGCCGCAAGCGAGCAGCTGGCTGCGACTTCCGTCCTGTGGAAGCCACAAGTCCTTCCTTCGTGTCCACTTCGTCAGTACTCGACCATCCCTCCCCACGATCATGCCGGACAAAATTAAAGAAGTTTATGCGCAAGAGATTTCATCGCAGACCTACGCATTCGTGATTTTCGATCGAATTTCTTGCAACAAAGGCTGTATTTCAATATTTCAAAAAATATTTTCCGCGAAGAATTATCTTCGAGAGAAAGGCGACCGAGTAAGAGAGCAGGAAATATGAGAAGATCCATAAACTCTTAGAGGGAAGAAAGGAAGGGGTAGGGGGGGTGGGGTGGAGGACTGTATACTATCCCCATTTTACATATTTCAACTACATGGTTTCCAGGTCTATATGATTCTCCAAAGAAGATACAGTAACTAGAATTTACTTTAGACGGCACTAGCAAGTGTTCATTAGCAGCAATTTATATAGGTGACTCAAAAAAAAGCTGTACAATATTGCAGATTAAGTGTTATATTGTCTCATAGTTGACAAGCCACTGCTTACTCTGCTACGAATGTATATAAAAACCGTTGTATTAAATCCCTTTAAAATTCAAAACGAGAATAAGAAATTTTTTCACATCCAAGTGTTAAGAGATTCTGTTAGTTGTCACTCGACCCTCAAATTATGTGTAGGACTTACAAAATACAATATACTCAACAGTACCCCCGTACCCCGTATTTTCCATAGTCTTTAATTAGAATAATAGCCTAGCCTACATAAAATGATGAATTTGTGACTACTTCAAATTTTGAGGGAACTGAGCAGCTTGAAACACATTTTATTCTGTATATTCCACATGTCATCTTTGATGCCATTCCCAATAGCAAGAAATGTAACGTTTCAAGTGTTCTCCGTCCCAAAAAACTAATTAGCATTCAAAGAAGATGACTCGCTAAACATGGGATATTGCATCTCAAAGCCTATGCAACATTTGATATATTTAAAAACAATCTTCAAAATGCTTACATACAATTTTGGATAAATCACAAAGAGATAGATTTGGGGTTTTGCAAGACATACAATTTATACAGAGAATATATGTACTCCTTGTTTTCTTATCAGAGAACTCTAAGGTTACCATGCTTCATAAGCGGATTCATAAGTTGTGAAATATAAATATGATAAATAAATGAGTAAATAAATAAGAAATATATTTATTTTTCAGTGTGACGGGCTGGTGCAACTTCGATACCTACTTTGATACCCTAGCATACCCCAAGATATCACGCTATTACACTATTTCAATCATATCAAATGTCAACTACATTTGCTAAAAAATTTCCTCTGCAGCATAGTCCGAGGATAAGTCCTGAGCGACGTAACCGAATCCCATGTTGGAATCTCCTCACTGTATGGGCCACCTCCCTATGTCAAGCAAGGTCCCTAAGGTATAAAGCACAGCCCGCCTCCACTATAAAGTTGTATACAAGACCAAAATAATGCTGGAACGGAAGGGAAGGCATTACCAACTTCTGTCTTTCTTATGTCTCAGACTGACGGTTGGCTTGGCCGATGGACTGCAAAAGTCCTCGAACCGCAGGCCAACCGCAGACTTATTCGGACAGCGCCAGCGTGGACATGTGTAGGGTAGGGTAGGGTCGGATGGGGACCTTCGAGCGGTTTCCTTAAGGATAAACACGCCTAGAGGCAGATAAGGGCAAGGAGCAAGGATCGCTACTGTCCCGAAATGACGCGACGGCCGCGGGACGGGACTGGATCAGGTGAGCTTCTGGGTCGGGGAACTCCGCTAGATTCCTCGGATCCAGGTACTGTACCGTGCTGTCCCACCGGAGGGCTCCCTCCCTGGCTTTCTCCCTTGATTTGCGAAGGGTGGGAGCGGGCCCTGCAAGGGTAGGAGAATGCTGGCTCTATATAGGCGGAGTCTGGTGAGAGGGCCGGGAGGCGAGGCCAGCGAGACGAGGAGGAGCTAGGAAGGGCGTCCGGGAGGGAGCGCGGGCTGAGCGTCGAGAGGAAGACGAAGACGAAGAGAGAGGTTCGGGTGCGCGAGCAGAAGCGAAGGTCGAGTGCGAACGATCGATCGAGTGGCCGATTTTGGGGAGGAGAAGTGAGCCATCGGTCTCGTGTGCAGTGTGGCAGTGGGCGTCCTCGATGTGTTTGTTTTTCGAGGTGTTCCTGCGCTGGGCTCTGCGGTTGGATTGTTTCAGGTCGACTGTCTTGGAAATGTTCGTGCGGTGGAAAACGTTTCCGAAAGTTCTGGCTCCGCTTCGATATACCGCAGTGCCGCTCGCCCGAGCCAGTCTAGGGTAGCGGTGGTGTGGGGGTTTATCGGTCTTGGTGGTACTTCTGTGAGGAAGATTTTTCTGAGTGATATTCAGGTTGCGGCCGGATACAGAGGAGGAGGAGGGGGGCCGCGATGAGTACAACTGTGGAGGAAGAAGAGCCCAAGGATGCGAAGCACGTGAAATCGATTTTGGGCCTGATGGGCGTTCAGAAATATGAGCCGCGAGTGGTAAATCAGTTTATGGACTTGTGGTATAGATATGTCGTCGACGTTCTGGGAGACGCTCAGATGTACTCCGAGCATGCGGGCAAACAGGCCATCGATTGCGAGGATGTTAAGCTTGCCATTCAGTCGCGTGTCAACTTTTCTTTCACGCAGCCACCCTCGCGCGAGGTCTCTCTCTCTCTCTCTCTCTCTCTCTCTCTCTCTCTCTCTCTCTCTCTCTCTCTCTCTCTCTCTCTCTCTCTCTCTCTCTCCACCAATATCAAACAGTCATGAATGAATTCCTCAAATTGAAGCGGTGAATTTTTGCAGACTTTGTTGGAGTTGGCCAAACTGCGGAACAGCACGCCGTTACCAAAGATTATTGGTGGACCTGGAGTGGCGCTGCCACCAGAGCAAGATGTTCTGATTGCCCCCACTTATCAGCTGGACATTCCGACGCGATCCTTCCCCTTTATGGATGACGATATGGACGTAGACGACGAAGAGGGGAGCAAGCCCGACTCGGATAAGGAAATGACCGGTTCTCAGCCAACTCATATTCAAAAGTCTGACCAAGATGGTCGAAAAGTTTCATTTTCCATTGGTGCAAAGCGGCCAAGGAGTTAATGTCTCTGCATCAAAGAACAGAAAGGGATCGTTGACATGGTGGAGAGATTTTTTTTTGGTTCTCTCTCGGTATCAGCTTTCGCTTGCACGGGCACGCCTGTCCGGTGTCGACTCCCGATGGATAGTGTCGTGCCGAATTTTGTATAGTATTCTTGTCTGATCATTGTAGTATATGGTAATGATCTGGCAGTCGGTCAATCAAAGAAAGGTTGCAGGGGGCTTGTATCGGAACCGTGTATGATTTTTGCAATGGAGTAGTGTCTGGAACAAGACCAGGATCAATGATGGAAACCGGAGAGACAGAGGGTCTGTGCATACAATGGTTTCACGTGGGTGAGCTACTTTGACAGTATTGGAATTTGTGGACCATCAGAGGAGGAAGGGACTAAAGAAGAAGACGGAAGCTCGTGATCTCGCAAGATTACTACTGCCTTGAAGCACCAGATATTTGCGAACAGTTTAAAGACCTTGGCTTCACTAGGTGATCATGGCTTCAGTAGATTATCATGTCGGGTTACAGAATATTGTTTGGTATAGCAGGGATGAGCTTCCAGTGCATTTTAATGGAGATTGGATTTCAGGGGCAAAGCCTAAGCTTTGTAAAGTTTCACGAGCCCACTCGCTTCGAGCATTGTGAATGATTTTTCCAGCCCCGGAAGCTCAAAATATCTGTCAGAATTTATTTCGTTCTTGGAACACTTGCAGAAATACATGAATCAAAAGTGCAAAATATTCACTCGCAACGAAGTGTATGCAGTCCCTATGTGTACATTTTACCTCGCAGGAAAAGCTTAGTCACTTGTGGTATCGCCAATGTATGTAATGGGGTTTGTCGTGGACGGAATTTCCGGTTTTGTGAACTGTGGGCAGCTGTCACTTTTAAGACTTGGGAATGGTGCGGCGCTGTCCGACTGCTAGTGTATCCTCTGAAACGCATTTTGTTGATTAGCGGGACGGAAGTTTTGACATCTCAATTCAATGTGGTGTGGTCGCCATGGTTAGTGAGAGTAACTGTGTACCAAGGAGTCCAAGTCCATATTGAGTAAACGACAGGGACGAAACGACAGGGAGTTTGTGATTGTTTTCACCGCATGAAGGCTCACTCCTAAAGACCGCACAGCCTAAAGAAGGAAAAACCGTTCCAAAAGCCGAGACTGTTGTGGTTAAACGACAGTTCCACACATCGGGTGCGAATCGTGATCAGTGAACCCTACGAATATCTGCCACCTCTGGTGCCTGGACTTAATTAGCCCCATTTCAAAGAGGTCTGCGCATTGGATGATTGCGGGACAAGAAGTCAAAAGACCAACGTAAGCACCTGAAACATTCAAAACAAGGTCGTCGCACGCCACAGACTCATCGGCGTCTGTTCCACTGGTGCGTTTCACGAGTTTGTCCCGGGGATAGATGATCAGGGTGCAGTGGATGACCAAGAGTCTTACGAGTACAAAGTTTCACCAACTCATCGGAACTCTATCATACGTCAAAGCTGGTCCTACGGCGTGCTTGTAGATGTTTTCTTCAGTCCGATCTCCAAGCGCGTAATCGTCTCAATGATGGAAATTCTAAGAAGGAGGAGAAGAAGAAGGCTTAGTCAACCTGAGCCTCAAATCGGAGACTCAGAGTCTGATCTCGGCAGAAGGATCGTGCCTGATGAGGATATCAGAAGGGAATATGTCGACAGAATTCTATCTGATGAGAGATGGGTGTGGAAAGTGTGTTTGCTAGCTCGTCTGTTGAATGCGATGTTGGTGCGAACGTATTTCAACCCCGACGAGCACTGGCAGAGTCTTGAGGTTGCACATCGGATGGTTTTCGGGTAATGGATCCGCTGCTTCCAGCGTAGATCGATGATGTGATTTGATCGTTTCGATTTGATTAGGTTTTTGTTTCTTTCGAATTCATCGTCATGAGATTCATTGCTCGTACACATTTGCGTGCGAGCATCAAGATTCCTCCATAAATTTAGCCTTGCTTTGCCGATTGCATCGGACTGAAGCTGCTGGGGTATGGCGTGAAGGTATGGGCACTTAACTTGGGAATGGGACAGAGGAATTCGAAGTTATGTCCATCCGTTGATCTTCGCAGCTTTGTACAAAGTTTTGGCAATCACAGGCCTCGACACGCCATGGTTTATGGTATGCAGTTTTGTGCATGAATTGCATTTTTGTTTCAGTCCAAGCTTATAATATGCCGATTTTGATTTCTGTTCTTGATCTCAATTATCATTTTCAAGGTTGTAAGCATTGATGACCCCTCACGATTTATTGGGCTTTCATACTTAATCCAATTTAGAAACTGTTTGAACTGAAGAAGTCACAGTGTGCGGTTTTGGATATATGAAATTGTTATTTCGGAAATTGGGACTTACAACATCGGAGATCTCACAGGCAAGATCTCCTCGGCTGCTTCAAGCTGTGTTCGCAGCTGCTTGCGATGTGTACCTGTTCAAGCTCACCACTCGAATCTTTGGTTCTCGTTCAGCTTTCTGGGCTGTATCCTTAACTATTTTAACTCTGCTGAACTTGAGCTCGCCGTTGCTGTCATTACTTCTTTGAAAAAGCCCTTGTGGATAAAAAGATTGATGTTCAAAAATACCAGATGCAAATGCTGCACAGATGCAAACACCAGAGCCTGAAGGAAAATGAATTTGACATTTTACCCGTTTTCCTAATTATTTTCCTTTATCGAGTTCTGGTTTCTTTAATCTGTGATACAGCTCTTTGCCCAAATGATCAACTGGTTCACGTTCTTCTGTATGACGAGGACTTTGTCGAACAGCCTAGAGACTACGCTCACCATAGCTGCACTCTTTTACTGGCCAAAAGGGAAGGATTTGAAGCTCCGATATTGTAGCAGATGGGTTTCTTCTCGACAGCTAGCTCTCATGATAGCAGCGTTCTCTTGTGCTTTGAGACCCACAAATGCAGTGATCTGGTTGTACGTTGGAGTTGTACATTTGTTCCAGACTCCCAGCAAGTTTCGGTTTCTTCTGGCCGAGGTCCTTCCAATAGGGTACGGTTCTGATTTGGATTGAAGTTGAGTTTTGTAGGGAAGAACATAGTGTATGTGGATAATCTAGTTACTTTTACGGTTAGAGCTGTCTTATACCTCGATCTGAAATCTTGAACTAATGAGTTGCGATGTGAGCACTTATTGCTTGGAGATTGTTGAGAGCGTAGAACAACTTGATCAAGATGACCTATTGTAGTGTTTGCTTTCAATAAAGAAAACCTTGCAAATCGCTGTTGCATTGAAACATTATAGTATCGGTGCTTCTGTCTTCGTACGGAACCTTGTTGTTGATACACTAACCAGGAGATGTTGGTATGTTACTAAAGTTGTTTTGAATTGCAGACTGGTCTCCCTTACACTTACTGCCCTGATCGATCGCTGGATGTATGGATATTGGACTCTTGTTCCTCTCAACTTCCTGAAATTTAACTTTCTGTCATCTGGAGGAGACTTTTACGGCACTCACCCGTGGCATTGGTACTTTTCACAAGGATTTCCTGTCATGGTATTCTCGTTCCTTCCTCTTACCGTCTATGGGATCTGGATATCAAAAAGATGGTATTATGCCGGCCTAATAGGTTGGGTTCTTGGTGTATACAGTCTTCTCGGCCACAAGGAGTTCAGGTATGCTCTGAAAGTCGGGGGTGTTGTCCAGTTTAGGGTCGAAATGTCAAATGATTTTGTTTTTCACGCTTAAATCTGAGCTTATTAGATAATCGTCTGCTTCCCATATTATGTCTTCTCATCTTCTTTTAATTGTCTACATGAATCTCAACTTTCAAGACGAGGTAACTGTTGCTCGCTTTGAGAAAAAAACCCTTTCAGCTTCAGCAGACGACTTTATCAATCTCTGCTTGTCTGTAAAATGATGCAAGCAGATGTAATAGATGATTATAGTTATGCAGTAGCGAAGAGCATAATTATTTAAAAAAATGTGCCAGGTTTGTACTTCCGGTCCTCCCGTTGGCGATGATGTTTGCTGGCTACGCCCTTCATTCTCTCGAAGATCGGCGTACAAAACCTGAAGAAAATGATCCTGTAGCCGAGGACTCTTTCGATTCTTCGTCATCAAGTGAGGCTGGAGTCTCCAGGAAGCAGGCAGCGAGTGCCAATTTTCAGACAGCAACTAAATTCTGGTGGATCTTGATGTTTGTTTTCTCTACGAACATGCCAGCTGCTCTATATACGTCTGTGATTCATCAGGTAACACAACGGTAAACTAAAATCTCATATTGTTTCGGGTTTTTTACCTGTTAGGCCTTCCACATAGTAATAAATGAGTCCGCAGGATGATTGCAATGTGTCTATCTTCAAGTCACTCATCTCACGATTGAGAAGCTAGAAACCCATCTTTCGATACCAGAATATTATAATGTATCAAATCACAAGCCACGCTACATGAGCTAGTATCTACATTCTGGATTGTGCAGCTCATGAATGGAATTTTCTTATGCAGAGAGGGGGAGAGGCAGTGATGGAGTACCTTGCGAAGGAGGCGAGTCATAATCGAGTGGACAGTGTCCTTTTCCTCATGCCTTGTCACTCCACACCCTTCTATTCATCTCTTCATAAGAATATATCAATGCGATTTCTTGACTGTTCGCCCAGGTACCATCGATTTCTGCTGTACAATTGAAATGCGATTTGCTCTTTGACATAGAATCGCCCGTGTAGAAAGTTCAATCTGTAAGGATTTTACGTATCCAAGGCCAGACAGGGATGATGAGAGAAAGGATATAACCATGTCAATTAGCTGATACGTTTCTTATCAACTGTGTAACACTTCTCGATTCTCGTCTTCCTGCAGTGATCAGGCCGATTATATCGATGAGGCGGACCGCTTCAAGATCCAACCAACGGAATTTTTAAGCACAATGTTCTCCGTTCAAAATCTTCAACTGCCGAGCCATATTGTCGTTTATGATTCTGTAGATCAAAAGATTCTACCATTCCTGAAGGAACACTCGTACAGGCTTGTAAGTGAATTCTTTCACACGGTCATCCGAAAATTATTCATGTTCTAACTTGTTATCTACTTCGGTCAAAGCATGATCTTTGTTTTAATTAGCGTCACTTACATCGGTTTGGACGAAACGTATATTGACTCTTGCTGCTAGATTTGACAAAGTTGGAGGCTGTGCGTCTTTGCTCATTACTGCTTCTGCTACAGGAGCGGAGATTCTTTCATGCTCACTTTCCCGTAGATCGAGAGCTTCAGGCTAATGTTCTGCTGTACACATTGTGCGGAGATGCGCGATCTTCAACCGTGCTGTTGTAGGCTTCCGTGCAAGTATGGCCACCATTACAAGACTCATGAGTAGTGCCCATCTAGTATAGTCTCCATGTTGCTGCCCACCTTTTTTCCCCATTGACAAGGTAGACCACAACTCCTTGCGGCACAAGAGAACTCGAGCTTTTCGCTATCGGAGACCGGGGACTCGCAGATATAACTGAAGAGTTACCAGGTCTGTTGTCTCTTGTTTTTTGTGGGGTTTCTTCTGAGTTTTTCCGGCAGGGAGATTACTATGCATCAACTAACCTTTGATCTATGTGGGTTTTTCCAATGACGCACAGTTTTTATGGAATAAACTGATGAGATGGTTTAATGCAGCCCAGTTCTTCTAGTGTCTGCGTTGAGTTGGGATATGTTTCACTGGTACTACGGTTCTGCTGGATTCTGTGGACACTGTATTTTTTATCAACGTGTTTGTGGAAACTTGTACAGGTAGCGATGCCTGTACAAGTCTCACGAGACCACACACTGAACTTTGTACAGCCACCAAAATACATCTAAATGTACAAAGTAGTCCGAATCAGTAGTAAGCTTTGTTGCGTTCTTGTTGACTGCAGGTTTGAGCTACAAGCTTTTAGATGGTCTCTGTGGAATGTTTAGATTTAGCCGGATGTGAACAAAAAGTTGTGTGCATTTTTCGAGGAAGTTTGGGAAATTTAGATACGAGCAGTTTGTGACCTCCATAGCAGGCTTTGCACAGGAATATGCCTTCCGATTGTTATTAACTTTACTCTCCTAGTTCCGATGAAGGACAAGCGTGATTGCCTCAAAGGCCAAAATACGATAGTTCACTTAGTTCTTAAGGGAATAAGGGATCTGAAGAGACCAACGTGAGAGGAGAAAATGAGGTTAGTATTCTTTACCTTACTCTGGATGGTGCGGTGCAGTCCGAAGAGCATGATAAACAATGTTCTTTCTCTTCAATTAGAACAACTTCCCGCATGATGGCAGACACAAGAATTGTTCAGTACGACTTTACTGATGACTTCAACTACTTTTACTACTTCAATTTCTTACAAGTTGAAGTAGAGGCGAGACTCTCGACGAAGTAAACTCCACATCCACTTTATTTAGATGGTTCGTCAATTCCTCGCGCCGTTTTATTTAAGTCGCAGGTTCTCCTCCGCGTTTCAGATATCTGCTCATATATCTTGAAATTCTTCTCATAGGCTTGCTTGGTCTTCAATCAACAGCTCAAATTCTCAGTAAATTCACATCTCTCGTCCAACTATATGTATTCATACCTTTGGGGGTCTATCCTGACACACGGCAATCTCATGAAGGGCCATCAATATCAGGCTCCGGGTGTTCAGAGAACTGCAGCGCCGATACTGGAGGCTTTGCAATCTCATTCGTCGTCTTCGCCTGGGGTCTAATTACTTGAGGAAGCCCAATCTCTACTCTACTCTACTCTATTATACTATATAGAACAGAGCTCTATGTTTAGCTGACGTAAAGCTTTGTGATATCAGGGAAAGTGTGAGAAGTAGAGAATATCACAATAGTGTGAATGATAATTAACCCAAATAGCCGCTCCCATCAATACATCCATTTTATACAAGATAAGTAATATTATATTGTAGAATACTCTCTCTCCACTTTTCACATGCACAACGTGTCTCACGATGGCACGAATGAGGAATTGGAGTAGGAGTACACATGGACGGTCGCCGAGGGCAAGAAAGTGACAGTGTTGTTGATCGAACATCGCACCTGGGTGGCAGAGGTGCGTTCCAGAAGTGTGAAGGGTGTGTGTGTTCGGAATGTAGAAGGAAGACAGTTCAAGCAACAAGTTTTCTGAGTGAAAAGAAGTTCACTCAGATTCAATTTATACCACAGTTTGCAATCTCGCAGTGGTGGAATATTGCATGTCCAGGAATAAGCTCGCCAACTTACATCAGCTGACAAAGATTGTAGTGACATGCTTTCCAGCGCGATATGGAAGCTATTGCAGATTGTTTTCCCCCAGGGGAAACTCATGAGCTCAAGTGTGTTCAATAATCAGATTGGTTGTGGTGCTGCTGGTCCACTTAACCGGCAGCACCACATAAGGCTGATTCTTGTGTTGGCTAATGATAAGAACGTTCAATAGTCAGATTGGTTATCTTGCTGCTCGCCGCAATATACAGGACGTGTGCAGACTGCGCACATACTGGGAGACGAAAGGAAAGGAAAGGAAACAATGATCAAAACTAAGTATTATGGTAATGTCTGATTCATCCGTTCTGCACAATTCCAGGGGACGCAGTTCAGATCCGAGCAGACTTGTTCGCCTCCAGCGACAGGACTGGCATGGGCGCGCATCAAACTTTGGTCGAATTACTGGAAATTGCCTAAAATACTAACTCAAGTCAACTCAGCGCCTTGCTCCTCAACTCTTTGAGATATTGTGCTGGAGTGTAAGCAGCTATGTTAAAGTAGAGAGAGAGAGAGAGAAAGAGGAAAAGGTTAATGCGCTCATCTGTCTACATGTACTGAACTGCAGTTCATTGATCCCGGGATGATGACAGAGGGAGGGAGTGCAATCAATTGCGTGGCTGGTCGTTGTGCGTGCAGCAAGCTCTTGCTTCGCTGCACGCACGACAACGACCAGCCACGGAATTGAACAAGCAAGGCTAGCTACTGTGAAGATATTACGGCCGACCAGGGACGCTAAATCTGCTGCTGCTGCTGCAGTCGAAACCGTGAGCACGAACATCTGGCATACGATTTATCGATCAATTGTCGGTCTAGGGGAGCTTTCTCGCAAGTGAATGCCACAGTGGAAACTCTGCTCGCAAGGAACTTCCTTGCGCTTCATGCGTGCAGTGCACGCTCACACGCATGCTGAGCGCAAGGTCGTCCTCACTCAAACCCAAGCTTCACCGTGGTATTCAGCTGTGACAAAACATTCCTGTCCTGCTCCGCTCGCTGCTTCTCAATCCTCGTCCCCCACTCCCAGACACACCCGCAGACACACACACCATTCCAGTACTGCCATCATCATCACGGCAATAATCTAACATGTCATTACAAGAACCAAAATCGCTGCCAACGCCATCGAGTACAAATCGCACCGAGTCAATCGAGATCGAGCTCATGAAAGACAATAGACAGCCTCAGATTCTCTCCGTCTCTCTCCATCTGCTTCCGGGACAGGGTGCCAGAAGGCAGAAGGACGTCCTAGACCGACTTATGAGCCGAGCGATGCGTAGGATGCGAACACGCTACTCTCGAGTCGCTGTGGCTCACGCAGTACGCTTGCATGGACTGTACTATCAAGCTATACGGCCATCGAGACGTCCCTGCTTTTTCCTCGTCCTCGTCGTCTTGTGAGTCGGGCCATGGCATCCGTGATCTTCGAATGATTTGCGAAATTGTCTCGATATTGTGATATACTGTATTATACTCGTGGATCGTCTACAGCGTATCATCCTCTGGGACTCGTGGTTGGGAACTCGGAGGTTGTGGGTTGTACTGCACAGCCAGGACTCGATGGGGACGATGATGACGACATTGGGCTCCAGACACTGCTGACATTCTTGGCGGTGATGTCCACAGTTGGCGGCCGGCCGCATCCGGAGCTCCACCGACCTCTGTCCCTTAATCCGAATCAATTCGATACTGTGCTCTGGTAGCTATGCCCGACCCTGGGTTGGTCTTATGTGGCCTACAATGTGGAGCTTCTGTTGTCATTCGTTGTCTGAGAAAGTTCAGGTTGCTCACCGAGTGCTGCATCTCTTCACTTGCAAAACATCGTGGTACGGGGATCACGTGAATGTAATAAAAGCATAGGAATGCTCGACAATCCTTTCAAGTATTGCTATAAGGTTAAAACGTACATGTAATAAGATATTGAACAAATTGAAACTATACACAAAGAATAACAGTTTCCAATAATTCTAAATTAATGTGATTAATCGACTATGGTAGACATCAATCAGTGTGCATTGATACCAATGAAAAATGTTTGCCAAAACAAACTTCGAAATAACGTAAAGAAGATGATACTCCAGTATGATAGGTATAAGTATGAAAGACCCCAAGTTCTTGGGACAAGGCCGACGTTCGAATGAGAGCTTGCTCATCATGCCATATTTGACCGCTTAGGAACGATCTTTCATTGACACCGGAAAGAAGACTGATCCCAGGACGTTGATTTCAAGAGCAGTCGGAGATCTCAAGTGTTTGGGGCTCTCTGAATATGGCCATAGATAGTACAGTAGCACCATCCGGTGCCGACGAGGGAGTGGGATGAATGATCGAGGGAGCACGAGGAAAGAGCAACTCACAGTCCAGGCCAGTCGGAAATCAAAGGTAGCAGGAGGAGCAAAGACATGCCTCTCCCACCCACCTCTGTACCCTTTTCACACCTGCGGCTTTCTTTGCCACCACGACAGTCCGGCCCAGGAAGGAGAACAAATATCCGCACGGACAGAGCATCCCTCGTTAGAATCCTCATAATTCGTCGATCTCTGCCGAAGTGAACGAACGAACGTGCGCGTCGTCTTGAGGTATAAAACTTTGGATTCATAAAATTGCGCAATTCCCAATCCACGATAGGAAGTGGTGGGTTTGAATCTGCAAAGGATATATCCGGGCTAGCCCATTCGTCGATCATCGAGTGCTACAAGAATAAATCCTAAGACGCAACATGGGCTAGCCGGATAGCATAACAACAGGAAATATGTATCAATGCACCTGCATTTATTACCTAGCTAAGTCCAAGAATCTGCAAATGATATGAATTCATGAGCATCAACATTTTATCATTGATATCTCCTCTGAATTGTATAAACCGTGAGATCTGTAGAGAGCGATGGAAATGTGATTGTAAAATATTTCCTGAATAGAAAAAAGGTAGTTTTCCCAAATCTATCAGCATACTAGACTTTGGTGCTCTCATTAATGAGATGTCAATTCATACATCTTACACCTACAAGATTATAACTATTGGCTAGTCTTGTGACATGGACAAATGCTAACTATGAAAAAACCAATAATTTCCAATAACAATTTTATCTATCTTTTCCTATCTCCACAATTTTCAAACCGATTAAAACGAAGTAATGAAAAGAAAAGATGAAAAAATTCATCTATGTGAATATTTGAATAACATCACCTAAAAAACCTTCAAAATAAGAATTGACAAACGTATTTTTGTAGAAATACCTACAATGTTCAATATACATACCAATGCGACCAGAATGGAGAAATAAAGTCCTCTCCAAGTTTGGCAAAATAGAGCGCTAAAGAAAAAAAATATTCACTGCTTCCTAACCTTTTCTTCTCATCCCTATGAGCCTCGCGTTGCCCTTCATTGCCCTTTCGTGATGAAAATTCAGTCCATCAAAAGTAGCAACCTCACAAACAGTCGACTATGACATCCACCTCGGCCATCCTAATGTGGAGCTAATCTTGCACCCTCATCATTACCCCGTGGATAGAGACCTCTTCCACCAACCACGGGGGTTTGTACTAACCCAAATCCCATTGAACACCGCAAACGATGTAAACTCCAACCCGGTGAGAAGGGGAGCGCAATAAAATACAAGATTCAATTATTAGGATGAAAATGCCACCAGGTCCCAAAATCCCCAGCGGGGATGGCGGAGGCGCTTCCTGTCCGAGCGATGTGGTAACTGGGAAGGTACTCCGTGAGCCTGCCGCTGGCACCGCAGTCGATTCTACGACGGCGGTGGAAAAAAGCACGTGCGGACAAGGCAGTCTTCCAAGTTGTGGAAGAATAGTACAGTGCGAAGGTCGGGCTTACTGACTGACTGGGGACTGTACTGGGTTCTGGGTTTGGGGCTTGTAGTAACGAGGGCAGTAACAGCACTAGTAGACGAGAGTACAGCAGCAGGACCGATGTGTAGTACAGTGCCAGTACCGAGCCCCGTGAGCAATTGTACAGTCCGATGTACAAATCCATGTACACATGGCATCTTGCCACCTGTCCCTCGTGCACTCTCGCTTTCGAATGTCTGTTGCCATGGACCCTTTTCACACGAAGACGAAGGCGTTTATATGCTGTCCTCATCCCCTCGAGTCCTCCAGCAGCAGCAGCAGCACCGAGAACGAGCTTCGGAGTTGATAATCATCAGAGTGGATTGAAATCTGAGGGGAAGGACGACAGGAAAAGGGGGCCCGGAGGTGGAGAATCCTTCAGACCCGGTTGGACTCGAGTCTTGGCTCATCGGTCGGCGCTTCAGTGCCGTGCTTGGGGGTCGTTGTTTCATCTGCTGGCAGCTGCAATTGGGAAGAATTGCTCGGATTGGAGCGGAACTGCTTCGGTGGTGAATCGGTGAATGAGGCATGGAGCTGTTGCAGTGTTAGGGAGGTCGATTGATCGACTGACCGGTTGGTTTCTTGCGGAGGCGAGACGAGCTGGTGGTCGGTGATCGCGTCTCTGCGGCAGCGGCTGGGAGGATTGGCGGAGGCCGAGAGGATGAGTCTGGCCGTGTCGAATTCACCCTATCTCGGACAAGTGTCCGCGGAGAGTAACATGATCGGAATTCGGAGCTCCCTCGTACCCGATGTGGCTCGCAAGCTGTCTGCACAGGGTTTAGACGGACCGTCTTCTCACACTCCGATTTCTTTCGTCTTCTCCGACGACAATGCCAAGCACGCCATCGGCCACTCCTACTTAGAGGCAAAGCATCCCATCCTATCCTGCTCTTAACTTGTTGCCTCACGTTTTATCGATGACCATGAACTTGCTCTCCGAGAGGGACGAGGACTGCACTCACGGGCGTGCGGACGCTCAATAATTCTGCATTCTGAATTTTCTCTCTGTACAGTTTATCAGCTGGAGGTATTGGTCCATACGAAATTCTCAACAATCGTTTGCCTTAATGATAGAACTTGTACAATCTCCTGACCACAGGACTCTCAAAATCTTGTCCGTCTCGTGGAGCTATCTTCTGAGTCGATGATAGTGTCGCCCTTTTGCAGAGGATGGTTGAGAGTAACGGGAAGGAGTTCAAGTCCACCGGCAGCCAAGCGCCGGTCGTCAGCAGCTCTACTCGACCCGTCTCCGCCGGTACGTGCTGAAGTCCACCTGCGACCGGCTGAATCGGGCACCTCAATGTTGCGTCTGCTCTGTCGGCGCATTCAGTTGCTGTTGAGCTTGAGAGGCCCGAATCGAAATTCCCGAAATTCCATGGGGTCGCAATGTGCTCCATTTGACTGTCTGTCTGGTCCATGCTCTGCAGGAATTTGCTCGTTTATTCGAAGCGAGGACGGAGTGGCGGAATTCAGAGGGCCCGCCGTCCACGGACTGGTGCGGTTTGCTCAGATGAGCGAGCTCGAGTCGCAAATCGAGGCCACCTTCGACGGTTTGACTCCAGGCCTGCACAGCTGGTCTGTGAATGAGTACGGGGATGTGCGCGAGGGTGCTGCCAGCACGGGACTCCCCTACTCCCGAGTCTCCACCTCGACCGGACCTTCGGTCTGTTCTTCACTCATGATTCCTTGTATCCTTGACTGCCTTCGAGGACAGTTTCTTTGTCGTAAGATGCAACATCATTGCTGATTGAATTGGCGATGTGGAATGGAATTTGGTGAGCAGGGCAAGCACGAGGAGGAAGTGGAGATGGCAGGCATGCTCGGAACTTTGGTGGCCGACAGCACCGGGCACGCCGAGTTCAGCTCCAGAAGCTCTCGATTGGCAGTTTGGGACATCATTGGACGCTCTGTTGTTGTCTACCAGTCCTCTCATGGAAAGCTTCAGAACACGAAAGATGCCATCGCTTGCGCAGTCATTGCGAGAAGCTCCGTGCCTGGAGCGGGCGGAGCGAAACAACTCTGCAGCTGCGATGGGACTGTGATCTGGCAATCTTCTGTACTTAGTTAGTTAGTTAGTCGCAATTGCACATTCTTAGTCTACATTAGTAATCTTGTGCATATGTAAAGCTTTTATGATGATTACATCCCATCGTCGCACATTTAATCTTTCTTTTGGCGCCGCCGGTCCTCCGACGCTGTCTGATCTTCAATTTTTGCGATCCCTTGTCGGATCCATCGCCACAAACGTTTGCTCGACGGGTCAACAAAGCTGAACACACCCTTTCGACGATGCATGCTTTGCTCACATGACCTGGAACTGTCCGCAGTGATTGCAGCGGTTGAGAGTCGATTGGAACTCTTGCCGGATTCTAGGCAGAGTTGGACTGTCTCAATCAAGTTACACCATATTCTGTTATCTCAAGAGAGATACAAGTAGAAGATTTCAGACCACGTTCCGATGGACATGATCATAACTTGTCCATCTCAAGAAAAGACTCAACTGAGTGTATTCTTCTCAGTATCACATCAAGAAATTCTGTTCAGCTGAGATCATTACGTGCACCAGTGTCCGAAGTTTCTTGACTATTCAGCTCATCACGAAAGAAGTGCAGTTCCTCCTTCCACCTGATGCGCTTACTTATCCTGTGTCTTGTGCGCCTCAGTCCGTACATACCTTCAGCAATGAGAATATTATTACAGTAATAGTTGAGCTAGAAGATATCACGAGGAAAAAATTTCATAGTTGTTCCATCCAAATCGTCGTATATTCAAACTTCGAAATTCGATATATGCTAATCCAATCGAATCTTAAGAAGAAAAAACCCCCTCCGAAATGTGAATGTGAGATACAGGTATATACAAACTGCTCCGATCTTCAAATGTACATGTAAACTTTGGCCCCTGAAGAGCTGCGCGTGTTGAATAATATACTTTGCCAACTTCAAGCTTGCTGACGTACTCTCCCTTGACATTTCCCCCTCTGCGCTGACACTAGAATAAGTGAAAGCAAGCTCGATGCTGCACAACAAAACCATGCTTTAATTACTTATTAGACCAGCCTTAGTTCGGTAAATGTAAATACTACATTGCACACTTGGTACTTTTTTAAACTCATTGACATTGTTGTTGATCCGAGAAGGCTGTTGCCTAGTTGGGGATAGAGGCGAGATTTTTAATTTTCGAAGAAAAGTGAATGCATGAACCAAGATAATAAACTGGATTTGGCTGAATTGTAATTTCTTGTTTATGCTACGATTATGAGCATAAAATACTTGGATTTTTTGAAAGTTTATTACACATAAATGGTAAAAATGTATAAACAAGACTGAACTAGATTAGAGAACTTAAAGATTCAACAATGGGCACATAGTCCAAAATGCTCTAGGTATTCTGTCATGTTGTACATGAGGAAAGTAAATTTCGATTGAGAAGTGGAGTTGAAATTTGATGGGGTTGTTGACGTCGGTTGGGCGCACAAGCGTGCAAATTTTGAGTCTCAACGGAACTGGTGTGAAGAAGTTGTCAATTCGGAGCTTTGAGTTTGTGTAAAACTTTGCAAAGTTGGGTTCATGATGAATTCCGAAAACAAGCTCTCAATCTTGTGCAAACTGTTTTTAAGAATTGAAAGTGATTAGTTAAGAATTCAAGGTACAAAATTCTATCTTGTTCACTGCAAAGAATGAAATTTGAGAGTTGAAGATATTCCATAAAAGTTTTGAGAAGATCATGCTTGAAATTTGGTTCTCAAGCTTCTAATGTTACTACTCCTGGTTTACATGAAGTGATCAAAACTCTAGAACTGAAAATGACGTTCTATGCTGAAGCTACCAAGTCTGCTCATATCTCTTTCTGTCAAGAGCAAGAGATTGAAAAGTCTAATCAATGTGATCGTAGAAAGAATGTGAGGATTTCTAGTATACTTGAATTTGAGAAGGAAGAGGTGAAGAGTGTTGTCACCAAGTTCTTGGCAGAAACACTCTATGTTTCTAATTCGAATTTGGCTCAAGCTTTTCGTATTGACAACAAAGTAGCAGAACTTCATGCCATTATTGTTAAGTTTGTGTATCAAGCTCAACGTGATATTGCTTTAGTTAACAAGACCATTCTTAAGGAACGGAGTATTTGGTTAGATCCAGATCTTACAACTCTTCAAGTTGAAGCAAGGAGTAATGAGCTTGCAAAAGTCAAATAAGCTCAAGATGCAAGTTTTGTAGCTTATCTACGTGGTAATCAAGCTATTATCACTCAAAGGAGAATACAATCATCAGCCTAGCAATCCAAGAGTTTGAGGGTGTTGATGTGGAACATAAAAGTCCTATCTACAACAAAGTATGTGAGTGCACATCCAATTTGAAACATGGTAGACATACTCAACATTGTAGAGACTTGGGAGCATGAGAGTAATGCTATTGGAGAAATACAAGGGTTTACTTTGGTGGGATCTACTTGAAACCAAAGAAATTGACAAGCAGTAAGAATCTTTGGAGTCATTGCTACTTTCATCAGATGTGAACTTCTTCCTATGATACATTTGAAAAGCCAAGATATTGAAAAATAATATCATTAACTTCGTCTTGGATTGATTGGAGTATCTTATAATTATTTGACAATCTGTTACTTTACTCTATTATCCATGCAGATCTATTCCACAAGCGTTTGCAATCAAAGTCAACCATTCTATTGGCTCATAAAAAATGTTCTCAAATATAAGAAAAAGGTGAAGTTTTTCTGATTTGAAACTTTAATGACCGCATACGTTCTGCTCAATTTACACATTTTGATGATTCCTTGTCTTCTCACTCTTTTGAAAAAAAGTAGAGATAGTTTATGGTCTAGAGTCTCTTCTTATCCCTTTACAAATGATTTGACTAAGCATTTCTTGACTTTTAGAACCACATGTAATCTAAAAGTTTTCAATGGTGTTTCTTTCTTTCCCAACTCCCACTCCAATACATGTTTTTCCTCTACCGATATTAGCACTACAAATTATCTTTTGTACTCTCCCACTAATAGTTCATTTATCTCAACATTTGATATTCTACAGCCTCATCAAAATCAGATTATATACCTTTTTTATTTACTCTTTTGTTGTCAAAGTCAATTACTCTCTCTACATGTCATTATGTTTCTACTTCCCCAAGTTTTGTTTAGATGCTAATAAGAAGCAATTGTATAGTGAAAATTTACAAGACCTCTAGGCTCGTATTACTTGGAGTCTTGATCCACATACATCTAGTTTGCAACTAACCGAGTTGCTCAAAAACTCTGCTTCTAAGTTCTTTTCTAGACATAAGAGCAGGAGAGCTAGAGATCTTCCTTGCAATGGATGGTTTGACTTTGATTGCAAGCAAGCAAGGGTGAGATTAGTTGATAATTTTGGATCTTCATAATTGGCTTATTATGACAAGACTTTTAAAAGACTTGGTGAAGTCTAAGAAACAAGCTTTTTTGAGGCGGAAGCAAGAGTGTTTGACAAAGGAGATGTTGAAGAATACCAAATCTTTTTGAAGGCGGTTGGCAGTACAATCTTCCAAACCTACTCTTGATCCCAAGTCTTTGATTTCATTTGCTCAAAGACTTTCGTTTATTCCAAATGTTGCATCAATTCCACGTTGTGAAGTAAATTCAAGCTTATTTTTTGAAGCTGAAGTGATGACAATTAGCAAATGATAAATGTGAGGATTTGGATGGCATTTTCATTGAACTTCTCAATTGGGAAGTAGATGTTATTGGACCTATACTCACTAAAGTGTTAGAGATTGCTGTTATCTTTGGCTTTCCTGCGACTTGGTCTTTATAGAAGATTTTTTCTATTCAGAGTTTTGGGAGTAAGGCCTTGGTGACAAACTATGATACTATCATGATGGGTAGTATTTTTGCCAAGTTATTTAGTAAATTGATGGAGTCAAAATTGAGCACATGGGCTGAATCTTGTCAGAAGAGAGTGCGGTTTCAAGTTGGTTTTTGTCCTACATTCAACAATATAGTCCATATCTTGATTTTGCGTGTTTTATGGAAAAAATCCAAGAATAATGGAAAAGCTTTATTTTGTGCCTTCATTGATTTCAAGAAAGCTTTTGACATAAAATCTCGTGAGCTATTATGGCAAAGATTGCAAACTATTGAACTACAATCAGATCTCTTAGCAGCGGTGGCCACATTATATCACTCCGTTCAGGTCAAAATCAACACTTACCAAATCGAAGAGATTTTGAGTATCATTGGAGTCATTCAAGGTTGTCATTTATTGGAGTTTTCATAGATGATGTAGAAAGGTGGTTAGAGGATTGTGACAGTGAAGGTGTCAAACTTGGAGGCTTTGTCATCAAAGCTCTTTTGTATGTAGATGATGTCATATTACTAGCACATGATGCCATTAGTTTACAGAAACACCTTGACACTTTGTCTAGCTTTTGTACTCAAAATCAATGGAGGTCAATTTGAAGAATTCTAAAGTCATTCTTGTGGTCACTAGATGCAAACTTTATTTCTTTTACAAAGGATTAGAATTGGAACAACTGAAGAGTTACAAATTTTCAGACATTGATTTCTTCTACGATTATAGTTGGACACTTTGTGTGCAAAAGAGTGTTGAAGCTGATTTCAATGCTCTATATTCATTGTTAAATAAGTATAGAGAAGCTCATCTAGTGTTGTGGAGTCTTAATAAATTCTCATTCCGGAGCTTGGTGTTTTCCGTTATCTTATATGGAACACAAGTGTGTGGTCCTGGTTGTAAGAAGGAAGGTTAGTAGCGTTTGGAGAGGGTGCTAAAGATATTCTTGCCAGAAGAATTGGGTGTCAGCACCCAAACTTCATATGCTATTCTTCTTGCGGAAACATGTTGTCTACCTCTTGAGGCCGAAGCTCTCTATTTGACTATCATTTAAGTCAAAAGAGTCGTAAATGAGTAAGAGTCAAAAGCGAGAAGCATCATTGCTGCTCATTTACTTGATGCTTCTCGATTTACTCTTGAAGCTTTGTGTGCCACACGTTCCAAGGGGTGGTTTGCAGATGTGGTGACTTGGTCTTTGAGGTGAAATGTGACAGAACTCGATTGGAATTTCCAACCTATTGCCCTACGCCAACGGATCAAGGAGGAATTTCTCACCATTATTTGGACAAGATGAGGCACTAATATGGAGTTTTATCAACTTCATGTGAATCCTATACTTGTTTATTGTGAGCAAGTATACTTACTTGCGGAAATCTCTACTTTTTTTACATCATATTATTGCTAGGCATAGAACATGATCTCATAGTCTTGGGATTTTGGAATGGCGATGGTTGAACAATGATAGAAATGAATGTATTTGTAGGCTATGTGATGGAAGAAAAGTTGAGTATGAAGAGCATGTATTTCTTACTTGTAGTAGAGATTAGAGTGTCTTTTGTTGAGAATTTCTATTCTTTACTTCAGGTTGAGCCTTATGATTTAAGTTGTTACATTAGGGATGTTATTAGTTACCGATCTAATGCTCTTGGCACTAGCTAATGGATTCTTTTGGTTCTCTCCTAGGTTGGAATTGGATTGTTTGTATTGTGATTTTCAGAATTTTGACCTTTGATACCATGTTTTAAGAGACCGAGGGCAAGAATTACGACTAGTGGAACAGAGTAAACAACCTATGAAGGCCAATGAATATGTGCCGGGAGTCGAAATGAAAGAGAGTTAATCCAAGTATGTGTACTTCTTGCTTCCTTTGGATGATTTCTTGCGTGTGTTTCCAGCGTTCGTTAAGGGAAACGTCCCCGATGAAAGGTTCAGCAAAATCTCACATACCTCGAAAGTAGGCCATGATCTCATGAGTTCCCTGCGCAGTTTTCAGCATTGAACATGCGCGGAAATTTTGAACTACTAGTGTTATGGTCGCATTTGTTGGATGTCATTGCTCATGGCAAGAATAAAGTGCGAAGTACGAAGTTTCAAGAATAAAGTAGGAAGTTTCAAAGGGATGATCTCTCGTCAAAAGCTTCGCCCAGTACGTCACATTGTTCTGGACAGGTAAGAACAGCACGGATATGGAGCACGTCCATGACTCACGCATCTGGTATGAGATGTGAATGATAACAACATTGTTTCTTGGTCGTCATACTGAACAAATTATGACGGTTCCAGGTATAGAGCGGGAAGTACGTTGGGGTTCATGTCGTAAAGTAAATAACAGTTTTGATTTGTACAACTTCGGTAACCGTCGTTAATCATTGCCCCAAACTCGCTTACATCACTCAGTTGAATTACTTGCTGCCACTAGCAATGAATGGAAAAACGGGGAGTCTTTTGCAACGTCGAAGGTCTTAAATTCGAGTGACAGGCATGGACTACTCCATATTTTCAAGCTTTACAAACTACACCCGAAAGTGAAGTACGAAACAAAGAATATCTGCAACAGACAATACAGAAATATAGCCAAGCGTGATTCCCACAGTATGCGATTCCGATCTGTGCATAGACGTACACATATCTAAATGAGGCGAGGTTTGCTCATAATGACAGCAATATTTGCAAATTCCTTCGCTTCCTCCGGCAGAAACACATAAATGCTTTTCACATATTTTAAGGGGTTTACGCCTCTCCTGGAATGGCAGCAATATTTGCAAATTCCTTTGCTTCCTTCGGCAGGAACACATAAATGCTTTTCACATATTTTAAGGGGTGCACGCCTCTCCTGTAGACCCAATAATGGAGAATTCTATACACAAAAGTACCGGCGTCAGCCTTGTTTCACTTAGATGATATTGGTACTGAGGTAGTCCAACAATCATGACTAGAACAACCATCAGGGTGATGATCTTGGACGACATACAACGACCGCGTTCCACCCTAAAGATGCAAGGGTAATGACCCTGAGTGACCGGAAAAGAAAAAGCCCAAATCATAACTTTGATGGAGTTTGCTTGCGCCCGGAGATGTATTGTTGCAGCTTGGCAAAAAATTCCGGTGTCATGGCCTTATAAGAGGCATGAGCCCTTTCCTATAATCCATACAGTGCAACATCAGTTAGAGAACAAGAATATACTTCTTGTCTATTCATTTGAAATGATGAGTAAGAGTACAGTTCTGACAGACACCATGGATAAGTCCAACTTGAGAAATGAGAAAACCCATACCTTTTCCAATTTCAGACCTTCGCCCAGAGGCAAACGACCACCGTCATTGGCGATGGCCTTGAAATCTCGTACTAGATTCTCATCGTTTTTCAAAATCATCTCTGCGATCGAGTGAGCCGTCTTCATAAGCTCAGCAGGTGGAACTACCTGACTTACAAGACCCCATTTCTCAGCAAGTTGTGAATCTACTTCCATGCCCGTGAGATGGACGTGGCGTGCACAATTCAGCCCGATAAGGCGAGACAACCTCTGGGACATTCCCCACGATGGAAAAATTCCGAACCTGGCACACACAAAGAGCATCTTGAGAAAACAACGAACAGCCTGCCTGCTCCCGCCAGCCAAAAGTCATGCAGCAGTCTGGCATCGATCAGCTGGGCTCTGAATCGTTTCACATTTTACGTTCCCCTTCCATTGTCAGAGCCATGAAACGGACGAGAACTCTAAGAGAATAGAGTAAGAGTATATTAAAATTCTGCACAGGGAGTCAAAGCTAGAACCACATCTTCTTACTTGGAGTGGGTGTCCATAAACTTGGCTTCCGTGCTGGCGATCAAGATGTCGCAGGCCAGAGCAACCTCAAAACCACCTGTGATAGCCCATCCATTAACAGCACCGATAATCGGCTTCTTACAGAGGTCCATCTGATAAACAGGGTCCTTACTTTCATCTTTGACATCGCCTTGAAAAACCCCCTTGGCTGCGCTCAAATCCTGTCGATCAAAAGGATCAAAGCCCGTGAGCTTCTCACACATGCTGAGACGAGCAAGACATGCGGGAAGATCTTATGGTGGTGCGAACAGTGTTACCAACAGATCACGAAGAAGATGACAGCTAAACGGCGATTCAAATGCGCCGGCAGAACAATCCGTAACTAGATAATGTGAAGTAAGACACTCTGACTGCGATGGAAGGATCGGTGAGGAGACGAAACAGACCACTCCAGCACAGAAGCCCCGACCATTGCCGGTTAGGATGATGACTTTCACTTTGTCGTCGTTGGCAGCTGTTTTAATGATATGCGCAAGGTAATGAATCATATCAGAAGAGAGAGAGTTCATTGTTTTCGGACGATTCAGAGTCACAGTCGCGATCCCATTCGCAGACACTTCCAGTTTAACCTGCTCGCGAACATCATCCTTCTTTGCCTCCCCGCCCATTGCGCCCGCTCCCTTCGGACCTGCGTCAGAAATCCATGAACTGTCAGAAATCCATGCCTCGCTTCTCTGCATCACTCTGCTCTTGCATCAAAATTTTAGGGCCAATTCTAGTGAAACAAGACGCAGACGACGCTCCTGTCGTGAACTGTGAGGCAACCTCTGCAACGAAAGACAGGGCAGAGAAAGAACAGACTCTCTCTCTGTCCGTGGCAGGCTCTCGAATTGCCGAATTGCATCTAAGTTTCTCTCCACATCAATGATAAGCAGAGTTCGAGCACACACGAGCGAGTCAACCGAGTCCGAGCGCACTTGCGCCCCACGATTCAGGAGAGAGAGCGAGAGAGAAAGAGGAAGAAATTTTACCCAAGACTCGATCCGCTCCAAAAATTCGCCGGTCGGCAACTCGCTTCGAGCGGATTCCGAAGGCTCGACTGTCCACGAAGAAGCTCGGAAGCGAAAAGATGTGCGCCGGGGCTCAAGGATGGCAGATTTTGTGCTTGTGATGCTCAGGAGAGAAAGCAGCGCGGAATTGAATTCGCTCGGTCTTCGGGATCGGGTAGGCACGGCAGCGGCCTGATCCCGCACCGCCTCTGGGCGCATGCCGAAGATGGCGTGCAGGAGGAGAGTTGGGTGCTCGCTCGCTGTGGGACCGCCGTGCTCATCTGCGACGTGCGTGGCGGCTCCACACTTTTGGCTTCTTGTACCAGAAACTTGATTCCCTGCGAATCTCCGGCGATTCTCCTGTGCTTCCGCCGCCTGAATCCTCGTCCATTTCCTCTCTCTCATCTTATTTTATTCTCGCTTGCAGTTTTTTTATGTCTTTTTCTCCTACAGGGTTCCACAACAAGTAACCACGTGACTTTTATTCTCTTGCAACATTTTCTATATTTGTTTGATGAGGTTTCAACAATGATAACTAAACTTTAGAAATATTTTTCTATACAGTATTCCTTTCAAAAAACATAATTTCTGACAATAATGGATATTTTCTATCATTATATATCATTTTCTTTTATGTTATTATATGACAGGGAAAAAATGATCTTTGATAATCCTTGGTGTTCTTCCCATGTAAGAATGATTACAACAATGATCAATAAATTGCATGATTTTCTTTCTACTGATTTTTCCGTCATAATTTTTTCTTAATAACTTTTATGATATCAGTTGTTCATAAGATGATTTTTCAGAATGATAATTAATTCGGCATTTTGGTTTTCTCGTTATTATTTTCTTGTTAATTTCACTAGATATTCATGTTCCAACAATTTTAGCATGGTATGATTTCATAGTTTTATTCTTCAAATAGAAAAGATGAGAGTCATGAATCTTTCTTTGACAATACATCAAATTTTGAGCTATTCTCCATCAGTGATTGTTTTGATGTGGTTTTGTTTATTCATCTACATATTCATTATCCATGATACTTAAAAGATAACATATATTCTCCTGATTCATCCATGATGCAACAAAAGATGTGATGTTTGCTATAGAAAGAAAATGTTATTTTGCAACTAGGGTAACTTTATTTGATTCAAGATTTTAAATCTATCATACACTTGATGATTATAATATTATTCTTGACAAAATTCGAGAACAGATTATACATCTTGATACTGGTCATGACATAAAGTCAAAGATGATAAGTAGGCATCATTCTCTGCAAATGTAATGACATTATTACATAAAATTATTATGATTATATATATTGATTATAATATATTATATAATTATTTTGCCCTACCATATTGAAATTGTAATATGCTGGACCAGAAATCGATATAACAGCCTGAGCCTTCTTTTAAGTTTTGCTCTTTCTTGTATTTTTTTTTGGCTTTTTTTGCAACATCTTAAACTATTATTTTAATGGATTAAATTTTTATAGTATCATTTTAACACTACTTATCGATCTAGATCGATTTTAGTAATTTTTTCATGATTTCATTACTTCAACATCTAATTTGATCATTTTAATTCCAAATTCAATTCATCAAAGCTAATTTAGTATTTCTAGGTATAATATTCATAGTCTAGAGCTCCTGATAAGATTTATGATATCTATTGACACTTACATATCTTGCACTTACCAGTATGCTCCGAGGATTTTTTTTCAATTTATCCTCAAATCAGAAGATTGCTTTACGTTGAAAGTTTGGCAATTATAACATGCTAAAAAGAGAATGATTTAACATATCAAAGGTCAATAATTTCTCAATTCTCTTCTTATGAAAAATGATCGTTAATTTTTATTCATCAAAAAATTGACAATGAAATTATTTTTATTTATATCATATGTACGTGACATATGATACTCATTGAAGAATATTCAAATTCCTGTTGAAGAAATATCACAATGAAGTAAAATAATCACAAGAAGTTGAATATGCTAGAGATAAATAGTATGTATAGACAAGTGTAAGTTTCTAGTTTTCATAATAACAGAAAAACCTGTTAAATTTGAAGTCAAAAAATATTATTGAAAATTACATATTCATTTTTCACAATAAATGTTTAATTTACACTCTACTGTTTCACACGAACGTAAATTTTATATGAAAATGTCCCAGTCTTTGGACTAAGAGAATTCTTTTGAACTTTTTGTGTAACTTTTTCTTCAATTTTTCTTTTTAATCTCGTAAATTTAATAAAATGGATTTTTTTTCATAATAAAGTTTATCCCAACTCGCCAACTCTTGTTCATTTGTAGATATAACAAGGTGCGTGCTGCAACTATGTTGGGATTTTTTTTATGAGTTCATAGAAGCTTCTAGAATATGATTCAAATATTGATCAAACTTCATTGGGAAACAATTTGATCTTATATTTCCAGAAAATTACTTTTTTAAATTTTTACTGCTCAATGTCCAATTCTCTAAAGTGTTATTCTTAGAGGTTAGCTTAGTTCTCTTGGTAACTCATGTTTGCTAAATAAACAACGTCTATATTTCAAAAATATTTTGATTAATCTCTACTATAATTCTAAGTAACTATAGATTGTTACGCCTAACAATAACAAAGATTGATTACGTGTTATTCTTATTGAACATATTTAAGATTAAAAATCATAACACTTGTATTGTCAATATGTTGTTGTTAATTAGAATCTTAATCTATGAAGCACATAGATTGTTGAAGTATTGTTGTTAACTAACATATAATTTTTTTATGTGCCAACCACACATATGTCAACTATAGATTGCCACTATAAGTCAACTTTCTTTCAATTTAAAATAAATTAAACGTTTGTTTTAATTGCACTATATGGTTGTCAAAATGTGTAAAGTATAAATGAGTTTAGAAACAAAAAATAATTTCATTCACATAGTTCATCTAATCTTTGAGTTTATGTAAGTTTTCAAGTAGATTATACAAGAAAAATATGTGAATTAATATGATATTTTTGTTTTTAAATATGATATTATTTTTTATCGAGCTTTTTGAATTATATTTTAAATCAAATTCTATAAACTTTTTGATTCTATGATAACTTAGATTAAATGATTGTCATGATAAACTCTATGCATTTATGAAAAAAATAAAAATTTATTATTTATAAATTTTTGTAAATTGGATTTACATTTTTGATAATGCAAAAAACAATTTCATGAAATTATTTTAATTCAAAAACTGCGTTTGATATTTGGTATAGAAATTCTATCTAATAATGAAGTTTTTGGCTTTTATAATTAAGAGAATGATATGCTTATTGTAGCTAAAAATAATATGATACTGATAAAATTAAAGTTATTTAGAGTTTAGTATCAAAAATCTTGATGCAACAAAAATTATTTTAAATTATTTTTTTTATTTTTTGATGATGTGCACTAGGCTTAATATTGCTTCTGCTATGAACAAAATTAAGATATATGTTTTAAATTCTTGAAAAACACATTGAACTAAGTAAAAAGTTTTGAAATAGATCAAATGTACTTTTGATATAAGTTATGTGTTTGATACAAATTAATAAATTGTCAAATCATTGATTAACTATGTTAGTTCTGACTATAAACAAATCTACTTTTGAAAAAATTTCTATGGTTATATATATTTGAATTGAACTACAATTGAAAGTTAAGACATTTAAAATGATTACGTAGACTAAATAATTGATTACGTAACTTTGTATGTAGCAGCAATTCATGCATCAAAAGATACATTTGGAATAAATAAGTTTGTCAAAGATACAAGATTAACTCATGACAATCTAACTGGTCACTTTGAGAATTAAAGCTTTATACATCTTTTTTGAATAATGTGATGGAGTTTAGAGTAAAAACGCATCAAAATCAGGTTCCATTTTTCTACAAAGTATATTTGATAAAATTATTGAGTTTTTGATTAACTCAATCTGTTGAAAATTTTATCAAAATGATTATTTTCCAGATATTATGCCACATTTCTTGTTTTGAGTATTAGCATAATAGAATTTCAGCAACAATTACGTTATGTAAGTATGTATGTATATATATATATATTAATTATTAAGACTTAAAATTCATCAAATTTCTTTCAAAAAATGATATATGTTAGACTTTAAAAACATATTTCTATGACATAACCATATATATGTTAAAAATTTTACCTTTCTCAATACACGCAAACCAACAAAAGATTTGTTAAAATTGTATTCAAATCTATGTAGTTTAAATTTTAATGATTTGAAAAATTAGCATGCCATTTTATAAGAAAGTTGGTTATAGCTCAGAGGGATACAAAAGTATTTCAACAAAGGAGTATGTGGACTTCACTTAAGTAGTGTAAAGTACATATTTTTAATTATACTTTTTGGAAATGCATGCGATGATGATTGTTGATCATCGCCATCATTTTGAACTCTATTCTGTATTATATAATGATACAGAACTGGTTATATATTATGATTCTTTATCAATTTTTGAAAGTTAATTATAAAACAATCATCATTATTAATATTTAAGTTGATGACTGTTTTTTTAGAATTAAAGTATTGAGCTTACAGTTAGATAATAATAATTTTTGCATCATTTCTTTTAAATTTCACTAAGAATTATAGTAAATTAATAATCTTCATTTATAATTTAGTCAATAGGATATAAGAAAAGTTACATTAGACGTGATTGTTGACAATATGTTTCAAGTACAGAATGATCCAACGTTTTTATCAAATTTTACGATCAAAAATTTTGAAATTCATCTTTGAACTTCAATTTATGAAACTACTTTCATGTCTTTAAAAATTATTCTTATCTTTACATTTAAGTTCTAGTTAGTGGATTAGAAACTTTGCGTTTTGAATATATAAAACATTGTATTTAAAAAGGAATGATTATAATCTAAATCAAAAACTGCCATGTAACTAAACATGATTTTGTGTAAATAGTATTCAAAATTGATTAACATATATAGTTTGAGTTAATAGAGTAATATTATTTCAAAAATTGTGATGTCAATTTTTATTCAAATCTTAGCAAAATAGAGCTTCACATATAAAATTTATTATTGATTTACCAATCTGTCATTGGTGTTTTTATCAATTCAAGTATCCTCATCTTAGGTTCATGAAGTCATACTTGATTCGGATAAAAAACTAACGAATTTTAGAATTATAAAGTGTGATAAATAGGTCTTTGGCTCTATGTTTTAATATTAAATTTTTTCTTATAAAAATATATCAAAGA